CGGCTGGGTGACTTCGCCACGGTGTCACTCGGTGGGGCTGCTGCTTTTACTTTCCTTTCAGCCTCGGGCGGATCTCGCCTGTGTTCCCTCCCCGCGGGGAAGGCTTGGCTTCCCAGCGGGCGGCTGGGGCATTTTGGGTCCCCTGGGCAGAGCAGAATCCCAACCCTCTCGTGATGGGATGAAGGAGGGTGGGAGGTCCATCCTTGCCCCATTATCATTATTATTGCTTGCAGTCATCATTGCTATAAATATTATTACAATGTACTTTTTAAAAGGAGTGGGTGAGTCATACGGCCCGGGGTGGGGGGGATGTGGGCAGCGGGCACGGGACCAGCAGGGCCGGTGTTCTCTCTTCCGAGGTGAGGAACACGAGGCTGGCAGTAACCGGCTTTTCTCCTGGCTGCTCAGCAGGGCCGGAGTGAGGAAAGGATGGCTGCAGACGGGCTCTCCAGCAAGGCTTTGAAGGTGAGCACCAGTGGGAACAGAGGTGTGGGAGTCAGGGGGGCTGGTTTTGGGGGTCTCAGGCAACCCAACCACCCCTCTCTCTGGCAGGTGAAGCGGGAGCTGGGGGAGAACACTCCGCTGCTGTCGGATGAGGAGCTGATGGGGCTCTCAGTGCGGGAACTCAACCACCACCTGCGGGGCCTCTCCAAGGAGGAGGTGGCGAGGCTGAAGCAGCGTCGTCGGACGCTGAAGAACCGGGGTTATGCTGCCAGCTGCCGTGTGAAGCGCGTCTGCCAGAAGGAAGAGCTGCAGAAGCAGAAGATGGAGCTGGAGTGGGAGGTGGACAAGCTTGCCCGGGAGAACGCTGCCATGCGCCTGGAGCTCGACACCCTGCGTGGCAAGTACGAGGCCCTGCAGGGCTTTGCCCGCACCGTGGCCACTCACGGGCCCCCCGCCAAGGTGGCCACGGCCAGCGTCATCACCATCGTCAAGTCCAGCACCAACCAGGCCGCCTACTCCTAGTGCTGGCCTCCGTCCCCCGGCTGGACACAGTCCTCCCCGGGGTACCTAGCCCATGAATTGCCTCCCAGCCCTTCCCCAGCCTGTGCCCAAAATCCTCTTTCTCCCATCCCTTGACCTCCAGCTCCCCCAGGTAGGGAGGGCTGCTGCTATGTGGGTGCTTGGATGGAGGACAGGACCTCACTGGTTGCCCCCATAGCCCCCTCCCCTCTTGGGTGTGCAGACAGGACAGAGCGAACCCACACAGTGGGCAAGCATCCCACAGCTCCAAGCTGGTAGGAAAATGCAAGGTGCCTCTTTTTTGTGAGGGCATGGGAGAGTTAAATGTGGGCCAGGCAGTCCCAGGAGCATGTGCTAGAGAGGGAAAAGAGGAGAGAGAGGTCTTGCAGTGTAGGGGAAGAAGATATGATAGAAGGGTATCGGCATTGGGCAGACAACCTGGGCCGCAGCTGGAGCAGGGGGAGAGGTGCCAGCATGTCTGAAATCTCTGGGGATGCAGATGGCAAGGGAAGGTTAGCAGGTCAGAGGGGGAGATAAAGTGGCTGTGTGTTAATGCCTGGTAAGGGTAAATGGAATGGGAAAGTGCTGTGGCAGCTTGTGGTGCTGGGGGACCGAGGGGTGACAGTGATTGGGCAGGGGGGAGCTGGGAGATGTGAGTGGGTCAGCCCAGGCTGTTGTCCACAAAGGGGAGAAGGAGTGGTGCTGTTTTATCTTTATCATGCACATCCTTCACGCCTCTTCCTGCTGACGGGGGAACACTCGGCCTGGCCGGCCGTCTGAAATGCAGCAGCACCGGCAGGAAGGAAGCAGAGGCAGCTGGAGCAGAGATAAACACTGTTTTGCTCAGCACAGGCCAGCTTGTATGGCTCCACCAAGCCCTCCCGGGTGCCCCACTGCCTACAAGGCCCATGGAAGAGTGCTCCCGGCCCTGAGTCAGAGATGTGGAGGCAGAGAGAGGGGTAGAGGTGCAGGAGGTGGGAAGTAGGGGCAGAGAGCATCCCTACTCCTTGGAGCTGCCTGGCGGGCAGGTAGGCTCCTCCCTTTGGTTTTCCTCCAGCTTGGACACCAGTGTGGGACAACCGGCTCTTGAGCAGGCTGCAAGGCTGGAGAAGAGCTGGGTTCTCTAAATGCAGGCAGCACAGGGGAGGGAGCAGGAGGCAGGTCCATCCCGGGATCTGCTGCCTTCTGGGGATGATTCCCCTGCCTGGGTATTGCCACGCCAGCCGCCCTCGGCTGCAGCCTCGGTTCTTCCCTGTAGAGAGGTGCCTGCCACTCCTGGATGGGGCACTGTGGTTGGCATCCCCCACCCCGACTCCTCTTGGGTTTATTTATTGCACGAACATAAGTTATTTTCACGTCCTCTTTGCCATTCCGCCTCTCGGCACAGCCAGGATGTTGGTACAGAGCCGTACTTTATATTTTATATATGCAAATCACATTTTATCTTATACTTATATAGAGCAAAAAAAAACTTATTTATTTTCTGACTTACAGTATGTGTCCTACCCGACTCCTCAGTATTTTGTAGACTTTACAAATAAAGCAAGTTCTTTTTTTTTTTTTTCCACAGTGGGAGTGTGTTTGGTCCTTCTTGCACTTGGGGCAGAGCCATGTCTGAGACCAGGTTTTCTGTCTCCCTCTGGGTTTGCTGCAGGACATGCTCAAGACGTGCCCAAAAAAGATGGGATGGGGGATAGCTCATGGCTTTTAAGGACAAAACTAGATTTATAGTCTCTGAGAGAAAAGGGCTAAAAAAGCATGCTTAACACACCCCCCAAAGCACTTCCTTTCAGGAGCTGTGCAGCTGTGCTGAATCAGCTTTTCCTGGGAAAGATAATGCTTTTCACTACAAAAATTCCCTCCAGGCTGTCCTTGGACCAGGTGCAGGAGAGGCAGGTGCAGGGCATCTGTGCCCAAAAACTTCCCTGTTGAGTGACCTTATCACCTTACCTTGTGAACAGCAAGGAAAAAAGCAGTGAGCTGCCCACAGATGGCAGAAGGGGAAGAAGTGTGGAAGGCACCTTATCAGGAGATGAAGCCAGACCTTCTCCCTGTGTGGAAAAGCCATCCTTCCTCAGAGCTGAGCTGGAAATTGTGAGCATGTTCCAAATGCTCAGGTGGGCCAGGTCCCCAGCAGGCTGCAGCACTCGGGATGGTTTAGGGGGTTTGATATTCCCATTCTCTCTGCCACTGCAAATGGTCCAAGCCCCAAACACTGCTCATGGAAGAAAATCCCAAAGCCATTGTTTGCTGGGGCTCCCTCCCTCTCATCAGTGTTTCACAGTGAGCACCTAAGGAAGGATTCATCTCTACTCCAGGTTTTTAACTCATGGGTTTCACTCCTGCCTTGGGCCAGCAGTGGTGTCTCAGCCCAGGGTGCTGCAGTGATGGTTCTCCATCAGCTCCTACAGACACCTAGAGCTTTCTTTCTGAGAAGAGGACAAGAGATCCTGGCCCACCAAGCCTCAGTCCCTGCGAGGAGGAAAAACTCAGAAAAGTCACACAAGACAGCACCACACAGAGGCAGCTTAAGTACAATCTATATTATCTCTATATTTTTTATTTGTCGTCATATTTGCTCATTTCTGCGGAGTATAACGTCACAAAGACCAAAATAGAGAGCAGCTTGTCGCTGAGCTCACATCAGTTAAACACAATAGGTACAAAACTAGGTGACTCTGTCTTATTTATCATACTTTTTTCAGTCATTTATATACAAAGAACTACTCTATATGGAAAAATAATAAACAAATCCCATGGGTATGTTACATAGTAAACAAAAAAAGGAAGGAAGGAAGGAGAGCAGAAGCAGGTGAGGGAGAGCAGCTCCAAGGGTCTACTCCTGGAACTGGCACATTTCCTGGGTCCTGGGCTACCATGAGCAGACCAATGAGACCATGGAGGCCTTGGCCTTCTTGGTCTCAAGCTCTGGATCTCATATTTGTTCCTCCAATACAAAGTGGCTTCAGAGCCAGTGCTTGCTCTGGCACTTGCTAGTCATGAGGAAGAGCAGGAAGCTCAGTGCTGGATGATTTTGTCTGGTGTTAAAAAACATTTTATATATATATATATATATATATATATATATATATATATATATATATATATATATATATATATATATATATATATATATATATATATAAAATTATAAAGTAGGGCAGCTGGCTCATTGGGTACTAGCTCACCAGGCTCCTCCAAAGGCAGCTGGTGCAAAAGTTATACTTGAAACCATTACACACAGGATGCTTTGAGAATATCCAGATCCTCTGCACAGTCCATATATATATACACATATATATATATATATATGTATGCAGGAGACATTTCAAATGAAGTTCTAAGACGTGCTTCTCTAAGCCTGGACCACCTTCATGCTCAATGGGGCAATCACAATCACGCAGATTTCAGCCAGCCAAATGCAACAAAGACTGGGGGCAGTCACCAAGTGATACTAGGACATCATCAAGGCTTGCAAATGCAAAGAAAGGGGAGGATGGGAACATGTCCCATGCCCTACTTTCCTAAGAGAGAGTAACATGAGTATCTCACATTAAAGGAATATTAATCAAAGCCATAGAAAACAGAAACAAAATCTGCTCAACCTTCATCCCTGCTTTCCAGGCGCCTTATGCATGATGAAATTTTACACCAAGCCCACACAAAGCCTGGCAGAGTGTGATTGCATGTCTAATTAAGCAGTCACAAATTTAGGAAAATTAGTAACCAACAGCATGGCATTGCAGGATGTGTGTGAATGAGGAAATCCAGTGGCAGAGAAGCTGCTGGATCCACTGACCCTGCCTCCAGCTCCCTCAACAGTTTTGTTGATCTCACCTGCTTCACCATCCCTCAGAAACATCAGTACAGGAGGAGGCACTATCCTTAAGTTTTTCCCTATCTCATCCTCACAGCAGGGAGCAAACCTGCCTCTCTTCAAGCCCTTTTACCCGGCTTGGGCAGAGGTTCTGAATAAATGAGATGCTCTTCACTCACTGTTGCTTCTGAACCACTCAATGAACAAGCAGATGGATTAGGAAACAAATGGAAAGGTAAACTCCAGGCAGCAAACCAGACTCCAGTTCTCCTAGCAAGGAGCAATCCAGAATCACACAGGTCTGCTCTCAGCAGGGGAGGCATAAAGCAGGAGAGGAACAGAGAAACTACAGCTGAACACAGCAGCTTGCTCCAATCTCTCAATTCTGCTTCCTGCTTGCACGTAGGAGCATCTGAGCTGTAGCACTTGAGTGTGCTGCCTACTTTTCTCCTAGATAATTTTAAGCAAGCAAGAGGCATTTCCTGGTCCCTGGACAGATCTACAGAGGGATCACTTTTGTTTTGGCTCCACTAAGTACTCATGGGTTCATCCAAAACCCAGCAGAAGCAAGGGGAAGCTTCTCCACTTCCATGGATGCTGGCTCCACCCTTGATAGCACTGCAGGTGCAGCAGAGCCTGTGAAATGTGCAGCAGCAGCAGCAGCAGCAATTGCTGCCTGAGAAAATAAAAGAGACAAATTTGACCAGCCAGGTCATGTCAGGTTTCAAGTCTGCTCCAGTCTGCCCCAGAACAGCTACAGAGAGAAAAAAACAAAGGAGTGTGCAACATTCCTTCCTGAATATTCCAGCCTAAGGGTGAAACCTGTGTGGCTCAGGGGAAGTCAGTGATGATGAGCACGGGGAGAGCTACCTGTGAGAGACCAGGACCTGCTCTGGCACCTACCTCTAACAGGGGCAGATGTGATGCTGGGGGACAGGAAACAAGAAGAAAAACTGGTTTTGTGTTTACATATCTTCCCTTCCCAAAGAGGAGTGAAGGGGCCAGAGCTCTACAAACTTCCACCATCTGTCATAGCCAGTCCTCAGTCTTGTTAGCAGGAGAAAGATGCTCCAGGGAGGCTTCCTGCCACAGGAACGCCAGGGAGATGGGAAGCTTGAACACCTGGTGATTAAAAAACTCCACCCTTGTGAAAATATAATTCTATCCCCTCTGAGCTTTAACAAGCTTTTATAGCAACTTGGGATGCAGGGAGCCAAGGAACACACAGAAAGCCCTGTCCTTTTCCCCTTCACTCCCTCAAGTGACTCCAGGACTCATAACCAGGTGCTCAGAAGGGTGGGGACAGATGTTCCTTACTTAGCACTCAGGGCAATGGCTATTTAGAAAGACCAGTCTCGGGCGTGGTCCTCAGGAACACTTATGGCTGCATCCCCATCCTATTTCCCAAGGATCACAGAGATGTTAGTACCAGCGAGCTGGGGAGAAAACTGTGCCTACATCAACCATTCAGGAAAAGAAATAGAAAGCAGTCAGGTTGTCCTGTTAGAAAAAAACCAAAAACATTTTTGGCTACACCTCCAGGCTCTGGTCAGTCACACTCTACACCAAACTGGGCAGGTGTGGGAAGCCAGAGCCCCAAACCCTGGAGCTTTGCTAGAATCAATTCAATTTGATTGCTGCCATAGGAATGGGCTCAAGAATGGAGTCCTGGCCATTCTGGAACCTCCACATTGCTCATTATGTCCGTACCCACAAAAGCTAATGGGAAGTGCCCACTCCTGCAATCTTTACTCTCTAGGAAGTGATATGACTTGTGTGTTTCTCCATTAATAAATTATTAAAAAAAACCAAAAAAAAGGAAAGTGGCAGCCTGTGCTGGCAGTTTCCCCCCTAGAATTCATCATCAGAGCTCAGCAAGAGGGTCTTCTCGTTGTCACGGGCGCCGGAGCAGCTGTGGGAGCGCGAGATGATGTGGCTGCCATTGCGCCAGGGGGGACCGTGCTCCAGCGTCGACTGCTGCGTGTACTGCTGGTAGGCTGGAGAGAAGTTGTGGATCGCGTCTTGGACAATGTCATGGGGATTCATGGTCTCCTTCAGGCTGCTGGAGATGCTCTTCATGGGAGCACAGCGACCTGTTTGGATAAGACAGGAAGGGACAAGTAAAGAACACTGCTGCCTTCCCCACACCCTTAATATGAAGGTAAGGAGAACAGGGAACATGCAGTCCTAGATACCGCCAAAGGTGTGTTACAGATTTCCTTAAGCAGCTGCTGAGGAAATGCCACACAAGTAGTGTTGAGTTTTACCAGTGGGGCTCCTAAACCCAGACACCGTGAGTCAAGTGAATCCACCACAGCACCAAATGGGGGACACACCATGAGAACGGGACATACCCACAGTGACAACGTCCACTATGCACTATCGGTGCTGGCCTGAGTGTGCAATGAACAGTCAGGTAGGAGGTGCTCCTCTAAACACTTTCAGAAGACAAAAACTAAGTAAATTCTAAAAATATAGGAGAAATGGCATTTGCCATTCCACTCACTGCAAATTAAGACTGCTAGGTGGTATCAAAGGGCCCATGGCAAAGAGATCATACGAGTAAAAAGCAGCACAAAGTAAGGAAAAGAGGGAAGCGGGCAGTACTAGAGGCAGAACTACCCCATGTGACATGATGCTACCATGAAGAACACAGCAGATGGAGAATGTACCACCCCAGTGCTAAGCACAGAGGGAAGCAGTGTCTCCTAGGAGCTGCCATGTCTCATGCCTTCTAGGTTCCATTTCCAGTGTGGGCTTCTGGCTCTGCTCAGTTCTGAGAATGAGCTCCCTAGAGAACCCAAGTATGCTGATCATCTGTGGCAATTGTAAAGTGAAGGGAGGCTGGGGCGAGAGCAGCTCCTTTGAGAGCCTGCACAACTCTTCAGAGAGAAATTCCCAGAGCTCTGACACAAATGCTCTAAAACTCTGTGTTAATGCCCATGCTGCTGTTTTACTACTTGTAATCCAGGCAACCCTAAAGCAGCTGTGTGAGGCACTGGAGTCACAGACTTGCAAGGAAAAGGGAACAAGGGGCAGGGCAGGTTGTAGGCAGGCTGGGAATCAGGAGAGAACAGCACCCCAGCTAAAAACCAACAGAGACAAACACACAAAGCATGCTGTACCTACCGTATGGCCCATATGATGGAACAGCTGCATCAGGGACCAGTGGCCAAAGCAAGGGAGAGATAAAAGGAATAGGAGAGAAAGACAGAGACAGAGAAAGAGGAAATAACAAGAACTGAACAAGGCCCACCGCAGAAACATTCCCCACTGGACTGACCTGTAGTTTACCCTTACATCACCCATAGATATCATCTCCCCCCACTGCAACCACTGTTCTTCCAAAACCTCTGGGGCTGGCTAGGATGGAGGGGTCACCTACACAGACACTGCCCAAGGGCTGCTGTGTTCCAGCACCTCAGCACAGATCTCCTCCAGAAGGAAGGAAGGAAGCCCTTTATTTGGAAAACACTGCACAGACTAGGCAGAAAACCCCCTTTTACCAGAGATAACATCCATCTTCCCCAAAATAAGAATTTTCCTTATACCAGAACAGCCCTCACAAAGTCATTACAGGAAGATCCTCCTTCTCTGTGACAAACATATTGCCAAAGCACAGCCTCATCTTCCCAAGCCAGATTCAAAACAGAGCCTGTTGTAGGCCCTGTCCCTCCTGCCTTCAGTCTGTTACACAATCTGGAGCAATGGAGTTCCCCTTTGGGGAGACAGGAAGAAGGACAAACCCATTCTACCGAAACAATGCAACATCTTACAGCCCTCAGGTCTGCAACAAGTTGTCGTGGGTGGCATACTGGGGAACTGAAAAGGGAACAGTGCAATTCAGTCAAGGTTTCTGCCCTGGAGAGCTGTTGCACAATAAATCTGTTCAGACACCACACAGGAGGGGATGTGGTGTTTTCCAAGCTATCAGGTTGGGAGTCATATCAGTGTGCTGGCTGCTTGAGGGACCAGCCTCCACCCAGTGTCACTACCAAAGAGACGAGCCATATGCACTGGCATGCTTCCTACCTTGGGCATCAATCCTCTTGTCCACATACACCTTGTATGTGAAGGCGTGGCGCAGGGCAATGGCTGCAAAGAACATCTCCACACAAATGATGAAGTCTTGATAGCCAGCAGCTACTGTGCCTTCCCCCACAGACACATCAGCAGAGTGGATTTTGGGGATGGCACCACACTTTTCCAAGATGGCCAAGAGCATCCCTAAACAAAGTAACAAGTTCATGTAAATGTGCAGAAAATATGGTCTCACAGTAACTGCAAAGAATGGAAATAGCTGTTTGTGCTGTATGTCCTAGACACAAACCCACCCACCACAGGAGCTACAAAGAGAGTGGGCTAAAAACACACACCTCTGGTCACTTATACAACAGAGAAAGGAAGAATAAAATGAGACAAATACATTTAGGCAAAGAATGTTCAAACACTGATCCTCTTCTATCCTCACCTGACACATAAACTGTGGAACTAACTGCTGTAGGACTTGATTAAGTCCAAAAGGGTAAGAGGAGTCAGATATTTCTGTAAGCAATCTTGTGATCTCAGTGTTGTCACAAAATAGGTTCTTTCACACAGTGTGCAAGAGGCCAATCCACACAAAGAGGCAAGGTATTTGGCTTATTTACTTATTTAGTTCTGCACAGAAAGGGGTGCTGGCTGGCAAATCCACAAAGCCAGCATGATCACTACCAAAGTTTTTTGCTATTTATACATTTTGCTAAACAAAGCCACTCATGTTCCTTGGCTAAAAATTACCTAATTCTCTTTTTAATGAGTATTCTGTCTTCTATTGGTTAATGGGCCTCTCCCCGCTCATGCTAATTAGTCTGCATGCTCAGTGTGTCTCTCCTTTCGAGCTGCTGGCTTCCTGGGTCAGTGGCCATGATCTCCCCCTGCCACAATCACCTTTTACTCTGTTGGAGCTGATTCAGCACAGTTGCTGAGCTGTCTTCATTAGTTTCTTCCTTACCTTGGGGGTTCTGCCAAATGTCTTTGTGGCTTGTAAATTCTGCATTCTTCATGTCCACTATCTGAGGTACATCCCTGTTCCCAAGCTTTAACCTCCCCTGAGGTCACTGAAAAACGTTGATCCCTAAACCTCAACAAGGCAGTTCTACTGTCAAGTAATTCGTCTTTCTAACACCTGGACATCACTTGGAGCTTGTTTGTTAGCTCCTGTTCCACAGATTAAACCTCTTTTCTTGTTGATCAGAGTTGAAAGCATACAAAGATCAAACACCAAAGAACATAGTTTCTTAAGAAAATTCTGACGTATTCCACATTTTTCAACATCACCACTTGCACTAGCTAGAACAAAAACTGAAGTAACAGAACTTTTCATTTAAGCATATTAGTGTTTTTGACACACCACTGTAAAAAAGAGGTTTCTCCCTGTCCACAGCTTAGTGGCTGAAGAATTTCAGAGAAGACAAAGTGTGTGACCACATGCCTCAAGATGATAAACCAGACAGCTTATTAGTTTGTCTGTAAACAGGGAGGATGGGCTATACTCCAACAGCCTGAATTCCACCTAAGTTCCTACTCAATTAGTCTTTGAAGGGCAACTCAGTAAACCTAAGTAGGGCATTGAACAGGGAAATGCTTAGAGCCAATTAGTCAGAAGCACTAAGCTTAGGTGGAATTTCAACTTTCTGATTGTGCCTCGGCTTCATATGTATGAATTCTGAGTGTCCTTCTCCCAGCAGTGGCTCTGTGGCAGTACACACTGCACCCAACCAGCTTGCTCCTTCACATACACCACAGACAAACCATTAAAAGTTTATTTTTAGAGCACTAAAAAAAGCACTGAAACTTTTTAGATGTGTCACTTTAATCAATAAAATGGCAGCATGCAGATAAAATGTTGGCAGCTTGTGCTTTATGATTGTTTCAGGAATGCAGAGAACTCTTCACCCTATCAGCTGATTTTGCCAAATACAAGTTCTTGTGCACACACACAGGGATAATAAAGATTCAGGAGCATATAAACAAAAATTAAACTGTGCAAAACAGCTTTCCCAGAGAAAAGCAACGAATGACTATAAACCAAATGGAATACAAGAAGACATTTTGTCTATTAATCAACATCTGCTCTATCAACTCTCGTGTCTGAGCCCCTGCAGAGAGCCCTTTATGCCTACTAAGGGAAGGGAAAAACAGCTCACCTTGCCAAAAGGACAGGAAGATGACAGATTTCACCATGAAGAACTTGAGGACTGGGCTGTAGGGACTGAGCAGCTCACGTGTGGCGAAGTAGAAAAGGAAGAGGGCATACAGTGCCAGGCTGACAGAGATGTTGTAGATGATCGTCACATAGAGGTAGCCACTGGTTACACTGAAAAGAGAAGATATATATGAATGCCTGAAACTTCAGCATGTTTTCCCCTTGCCACTGTGAATGGCAAGTTCCAAGAGTCCATTTCCTTCCTGCCTCCCTGTCCCATTTCCACCCCCAAACCAAGGTAGAAGAAACACGAAGCTAAAAGTGGGCTACCTCTGCCTTCTTTTCTCATGCACATCAACCCATGTACTCCCATCTTTTCCCAGCACACACAGAGACAATAAGCAGAGCCAGGCAGAGAAAGGGCAGCCAAATCTTGCATGCTAGATAAATAAACTTACTCAAAGTCACCATCCTTGTACTTGCCGAAGGCCTGAAGGATGACTGTGCTGATGGCCATGAGGGGCTTCACCACACAGAACTGCAGGGTAGCCTACAGGAATGAGAGGGGAGCAATGAGAAGGCAGGTGGTGCAAGAGGACAAGCTGCCAACAGCATCACAATGGAGTATCCACTGGGACCACTCAGCAAGGCAGCGCAATGCAGCCCCAACAAGATGTCTGACCCTGCCACTTGCTAATTGATTGTGTTTGAGGACTGCAGCACCCAAGAGGAGATGAAGGAGTTTCAGAAGATGTACGTGTGCTATTTACTTGTCCAGAACAGGAAGAAAAACTTCTCTGTATGGTTGTTCCTAGAAGCTGTCAGCCCCACTCTTCCAGGGCTGCTTTTCACAGGCTGTGCTGCAGCACATTTATGCACTGTAACAGTACAAAAAGCAAAAAATCTCACTGTGCTATGGCACAGACACAGCAAGTTTAACAGAGACATACTGGGGAAGGAAAGCAAACTCCAGTCCATAGCTGTCACAAAGTTAGGCAAGAAATTCCCCTGGATCAGAGGGGAACCCCACTGCTTGAGGAGGAACTTTTGACAACTGCCACAATATTCAGGTGTTTTGTAAACACAGCAATGTGTGTTGCCACACACAAGTTAAGAGCTATTCTGTTGTCATCCACATGACCTTTACTGAATCTCCCCAAAGATTCCATGGCACTTGGGACCAGCTCTAACCGTTCTGCCCATATAAACTACTGCTCCTATTGGGACTGAGTGTTCTCTCAAAGCCCCCGCATTCCTCAACTTTCTGCAGATGTTGAACTTCAAAGTCCTAAAAAAAGGAAATACTTATGGCCCTAAAAATGTCTCCCTGAAGAGATGTGACCTGTGTCTCCCTGAAGGAGGCTACAAGAGCCTGGGTAGGTGCTGACCTGTGTGCATGTGGGGAGGGCTATGTATGGAAAGAAGGTAAAACCAAACAGTAATAATTGCTTTGGATACGATGCAATTTGTTAGTGGTCATAAGACTTCAAGGAGATTAAAAACCCCAGCACATGCCAGTTAGTGAGTCACTTTAAATATGTGAACTGGAAAAGGTCAAGCTAATTGGTAAACAACTCCATCCTCTGAGCTTCCTCTCCTTCTGATCTGGGGACATTTTAACCATTTCCAAACCACCACGTACTATTTTTAGCTGCTTCCCTAGAAGATGCTACAGCATATGGGAAGCACATGGATGGTGTGTGACCCATGTGTGAGGGTCACCAGACAGAGGCCCAGCAAAGAATCTTGATCAAGACATCTTTAAGCAAACAAGCTTTTTCTATTTCACACCACAGACACCAGCACACCACCTCACAGCTGGAGGTCCACAGGCAACACAGGCAGACTGATTGACCCACAACAGGCACCTGCCTGAGAAAACTGGGACAGTGTGAAGGTGGTAAGAAAAAAATTTATAACACAGATTCCTTCAGGATGAAAGGGACCAGAAAGAGCAGAAAATGGACAGGTAGTGATGGGAGGCAAAAGAAGTGCTGGAGATACTCAGAACAGGGCTAAAAAGGCAAGGTGTTCCTTTCAGCACATTTCTCTTCCAGATCATCACCATGGTGGATACTGCACAAGTCAGCACTGACATTTGTTCTGCTGCCCTTTCATACCAGCCTTCCCAGGAATCTACCTTGAAAGTTCTTCCCCAAAAATCCTGAAAGTCTAGAAGTACCAGAAAGTGAACCTTGGCATCAATAATTTCTCACCAAGACAATATTTAAGTTCAATCCAAGAAGGATGGAAGTATTTAAGCATCTCTTTTCAATACACCTCCCTCACAGCCTCCAGAGCAGACTTAGCAGTTAGCAAAGGGCAGGCATGAGTAGAAAAATTGCTGCCAGATACCAGCAAAAGGAAAGCAAACTATCTACCAAAGACAGAGTTACCAAAAGAGCTGGGATTTGGGGAGGCCAGCAGAAAAAACACACCTTCCCCACACCCCAAGGTGTGCTTCTAGTCTTCACTGTTGCGAACAAACTTTCCAAACACAGACATGTGCAACCCAGGTAGTGACTACAAGAGGCTATGGGACATGAGAAGCAAGAAGTCAAAGGGAAATTATTTCACCAGCATTCATTCACTTTCATGGGTGCTTCATCTGCTTACAATATATTTAAAAGGTAAAAATTAACATTAGGAGCAATAAGAATAGGTAATGTAGTGAATCAACCAAAGGGTGTCCAGATGAAACACGTGAGAAATAGCTGAAGCAATATACTGGGTTCAGACTGCAAAAGAAATTAAGAAGCAAGAAAAAAGAAAAGCTGTAAGGACAAAACATGAGGCAGGGACAAACAGAGCACATAAGCAAAAGAAGCAGTCCTTTGAAAATGGCCAGCACAGCTTAACACTGGATATTACCATGAGGTTGCACTGTACTTTTGATGTTCCTGCATATTGCTAAAACACAGAAGATGGGCCATGTTGTTCAGGAGAAGCCAGGGCAGGTATCTAGACCTGCTGACTGAAATGACAATGACCTGAGCCCTTTCAAAGAACCAGACCTGCTTCACACTGCCTCCTGCTGTGTTCATTTCAGCAGGTGAGCAAAGCCTTGAAATTCACCTGCTGTTTCACGTCAGCCAGAGGTGACTGAATGCAATGAGCAGACAAGGGCTGTATAGAGGTTTAGGCCTCCCCCACTGACCTGCCCTCGACATACCCAGTTCAGCACAGACAGACACACAGGGTGAGCAATACTTGGTTCCTCCCACAAACCCATGTGTCATGCTCAACCTCCACCCCTCCTCAGCTCCAAACCACAGCAGCAGCACTGGGAATTCAGGAGGCTGTTACACAACTGTGGGGTGTCTGCGACACAACACAGACATCAATTTCTTGGAGTTGGGACCTTTGTAATCCAGAAATTAGGAGAGTTTCTTCCTAGGATTAACATCAGTTCCAGGAGATAACTTGCATCTTAAACTAAGGCCTTCCTGATGTGGGGTTGAGTAGAAAATGTTAAAATCATTCTTAACATATTTAAATAATTCTTAACACCAAACCAACCCGGAAACACCTCCTCTTTTCAGCAGTCTTCAGGCCTCTCAAAATGCAATTAGAGCCCCTGATCAAAGATCTCAGAAATTCAGCAGCAAAAGGCACCATTGCCACCCCCACACACCTAATTTCTGCAGAATGTCCCAGCCCATACCTGTTTGCAGAATCTCAGGAATCCAATTGAATATGTCTTTCCCCACAGGCAGCAAGTCCCATACACACAGCTGGACCTGAAAGAACCAACACAAGATGACAGAGTTCACAAGCAAGATTTGGGCAAGAGTGCAAGCTTCCTACCCTCTTTATCCGCCGCTCTGCAGCTACGTTGCAGGACTGGTGCTTTCTCCAACAACGACTGCAGTTATGGCCATACTGTCTTCTAGAGACGTGTCTAAAACAACATCCTGACTACACACTGCAATTTTTTTTTCCTGTGACTGAATAGCATGGGGAGAAATATAGATCCTAGAGGAGACACACACAATCAACTGAAGACAGAAAAGATTTAAAGGAAGAGAAGGGAGTAAGAAAATAAACAAAGGACAGGCAGGTGTCCAGAAAAATTGTGAATCAGTCCAGCTTGCCTAAGAGGATGTGATCAGCCTGATCTGTCTCAGAGCAAGGTAAATCATCATCATCCACACTGCCCAGTTCCAGCAGACACTTGCCACCTGACACAGTTTTTCAGGACAGGGATAGAGAAATAGTAGATGGGCACAGAAGGAGGACAGCGTCATGCTGTAAGCACAATAAATACTCACTCAATTGGTTTCCCTCTGATCTCAGACATGATGGAGCTCTCCCCTCCCAAATACTCATAGCAGAGGCTGAGAAAGTTGTATATTACAAAGGCTGCAAAGACATCAATCACAGTAAAATGACAACCAACTTCAAAACAGGTACAAGGACCAAAAGCACAGGCAATAGACCAAACATTAGCAGGACTGCTTTATGCAGCACCTTTCTCTTCAAAGCACTCCAGATTTTCACTGCATTTATCATCCTACCTCAGCACTCACAAGACCATCTGAATAGGAGTTTGGCCAAGGTCCCAGGCCAGTTCCATGACTCATGCCAAAAGGGTCGCAGAACCATTTAAAACTGTGGCCAGTCTCTGTTTTATTTGGCATCTGTAAGATGCCATTCTTTATAGGGCTCCTGTGCATTATTCCAGGACATTACACTGGTACTAAATAATTTGGAAAAGGTATCTCTGATCCATCAGCCACATGTTATCTCCTGTATTTAACCTTTTAGCTGATGAACACAGTTTGTCTCTGCCAGGTAACCAGGCTATAGACATAAGAGTTGGAGAAACAAAGAGTTTATAACAATCAGCAAAACTCTGTTCCCATGTCTTGTGGGGACTTTTGCAAAACAGGCTCTGATCTCCATTTTCTCAAAAAGATAAAATTTCTTGTGTGCTGAATAAAATTCTCCTTAGGCCACCTTTTTTCTGCCTTCCCCAGAAACCTGTTACAGATGACAAACAGACTGACCACTAACACTCTGCCCCATTTCAGTTCCCCATAACTACAGATGTATCTCCTTTTCATGGGATCCAAACTCACTTAAATGTGCATGAAGTGAGCCTGTATACATCCTGTCTGCCACTCTCTTGACTTGCAATTGCTGTTGGACCCTCAAAGCTGTCAGACTTTTTAGGGCAAGGACTGTATTTCTGCATTTGACACAGACAGCCCTGGGGCAAAATGCCAGACCAGACGACCCTTCTTGCAACATTATATTCTATGGTCACCTGTGTCTGGACACTCCCAGGAATGACAACACCCAAATCCTGGTTTTTGCCCCAAATAACTGGGATACAAACAGCAGTCTCAAGGAACTTTAAAATAAGAACAGAAACTTAATAATGTACAACACTGAGAAGCTGATCTCCCCGAGCAGCCAGTTATTAGACCTGAAGTCAATTTTTCCACATGAATGATCTTCCAAAGTCAGACAAATTCTTCTATAAGCATCTAAACTATGCCCTGGCAAAGAGATACTCCACGGTCCCCAAAACACTTAGAGTCTCAAAACATTTACTTATGGCTTGTAGACGTGCCTAGCTGGCAAGACTGCTATGGCACATAAAAGCCAGTGGTACACATGCTTCTATGTATGTAATTGGGATATTGTTATTCTATCTGTAATCCTTATTATTGAACAAAATTCACACAGTAATAATTTTGCCAAAGCTTTAATTAGGACAGAAAACACCAACCACGGAAAAATTATGTAAATAACTGTGGTAACCCCTTTTGCCTTCAATTTTCCTGCAACTTAGCTGACAGCACCCAGCACCCAGAGGAAGAAAAGCTGAGCTTTTCCTATTGTCCTCCAGTGACCCCTGCCCTCTGATGTGGTCATTACAATACCAGCTGCCCATTCCCCAAGCACTAGGGAGAAGATGACATCAGAGGAAGAAAACAAAACAAAACAAGAGGGAGAAATATCTGCCCCTTCATCCCCAAAAGAAGTGCTAACTAGCAAGGCTCATCACACCAGCAAAGAACTATTCTCCCTCTCCCACCCACATCCATCAGATGGTATTCATGATATCAACATAAAAAAACCCCAAAACAAACCCTACTTGTATCAGTTGTATTGTATGCTTCTGAAGAAGCAGTGACATGAAAGAGTAAAACCAGAACAGGCTCCTCCTAACACACACTACAAAATACAGTCCAGAAATGGCTTAAGACAGCTTTCAAAATGTACTAGTAGGGTCCATTCTCTAATAGCTCACTTCGCAATGTAAAACCTTTCTAAAATATAAAGAAGGTGGGTGGCAAGAGACAAAAAGGTTATTTTGAAGCAATCCCCAGAAAAAGTGAGGGAGAGAACCTGCTTTCCAAAGGTGTCTTCACCTCCACTTGTAGTTTTCTCACACAGGCCAACCTGCCGAGGTGAACCCTGGAGCACCGGCAGCCTCCTGAGCAGATGTTCAAATGCTTGCAAACTCCCAGGGCAAGAGAGGCAGAGGGACAGTGGCTGTTGCTAGGAGAGCAGCAGGCTTCCTGCTGGACTCATACACACAGGGCGGGGAAGGAAAAAACCCAGACCCCAAACAAAGATGCTTTCTTGCATCATGTGTGTGCATTTGCCATCTGCTGCTGAATCCACAGCATTGTTGTGGACGTGAAGGAAGGCCTGCTGGTCTCTTCAGCTTTAACTTGTTCACGAGGCCAGGGGCAACTCTCTGCATTGCAGATCTCACCAAAACAACTGCACCAATGATTTAGAATTTAATGAGGGTATGGTGAGAAATTATCCTCAAAAAGTCACTGCTAGAGTGCAGTATCTTCTGCTAAGTGGGTAGAGGCTTCTTACAGGATGAGACCAGGAGGGAAGTTACAATAGCATTTACAGGAAAGTAACCATTTCCCTCACATACAGTGCTAGTGGTATTACATCACTGCAGCAGATAACCAAAACCAAGCAGGTGCTCATCCTGAACATGGCACCCTCTCTTCTACAGGACTCCAAAGCTCTTTACACTTTACCAGCCCCAGCACATGGCCACTGTGCTACCCTGTGCAAGCACACAAGTGGCCCCAGGATGGGGCCAGAAGAATACACTGCTAACAAGCTGCACCAGGAACACAGGACAAAGCAGTGTCTGGCTGCTAAGTGCTGTTAAAAGAGGCAGGAGCTAAGCAATATGTTACTTTCTAACACCCAAATACCATCAGATGTTTTGGCTTCACCAAGAACTTTTACCTTCCTGAAGCAGAGGACCCCAGCAAACCATAAACTTAGTCTCTATAGAACCCTGGAGGGAAGGCTCATGCTCAGAGGCCAGTGAGGGAGGGGATCAAGTTGGACAGGGCTTAGAGCAACCTGATCAAGTGAAAGGTGTCCCAGACCACGGCAAGGGTGCTGCACTAGATGATCTTCAAAGGTCCACCCTGAGACAAACTATCCTACCATTCTATGATTTTCAGACACTAAGCAAGCCACAGTCATCCAGTTAGGCACACCATTCAGTAGGTGACAGCAATGCTCTCTCCTGAAATGCTGATTTCAACCAGAAATAAAGTTCTCTCAGGGCAGAGACTTCCCACCCCCCATTTCCTGTCTGAGCCCTCCTTACCTTCATAGCAGTCCCGCACTGTGCCAAAGTAAACATAGTACTGGTCATTGGTGAAGAACAGGAGGCTGAGCCAGGAGTCAAAGGCATAGATGGGCACGATGAAGAGGATGCGAACGATGTAGCGCTGCTCGTTTGGGCAGCTGTAGCAGCGCAGGTGCATGTAGATCTGGAGATGGACAGGGGAGAGCGGGATCAGGGTACATGGAGCACAGAGGAGAAAGCACAACCAGAGAGTCAATTGGGCCAGGAAAAACAAACTCACTACATCACCTCTCGATTGCCTCCAGCAGCCTCAAGGTGATGAACATAAAAGAAAAGATAAATCCCTGTTATCGTATGGCATTGATATAGTAACCCTTAGTTTGCAGACAGGGGGAAGGAGAGGGAAGAGAAAATTGAGGCATCTCTAATCTAGTTTCTTATAAGGAATTGGTTTATTTTTACATAACCTTGCCCATATTCTTTTTGTTCAAACCTTTTTTCCAGTCATTAACTCTACATTCCTGCTATCCTCTTTTAAGTACCTAAGATTCATTACACCGCAGGCTGCTTTTCTCTGAAAAACACACTTGTTGTGAACACTCTCTCTTTTGGCTGTTTTGGATGCTTTTGAGACTTTCACCTGAAACAACCTAAGAGAGCCCTTTACAGCACATCCCAAGGCTGATAAGCCACAGCCCATCTGCTCAAAAGGTGTTACTCTGCACATGGGTGACAGCACAGCCACAAAGGGTCAGCCATCAAGGGAGCACTGAGCTCATGCAGTGTGCTCAAAGGAACCACAAAGTTTGCTCTGTGTGACTGCACACATGCCCATCCCTCTAAGTCACTGGCTGGGGGGAGCACAGCATACCCACCCTTCCCACTCCCACCACTCACAGTTCCTTAGCCATCATTAAATCCCACACCTAAGATGCTTTTTTACAGAATACCCACCTCCCCGAAAAGGTACTGACCACAAGCACACCCTGAAGATGAGCACAACCCCTGCAATGCCCTAATAACACAGGCAGAGCTTCAGCATCATTTGTGGGTACACTCTCTTGAGTCAGGAGAGGCAAGGCCTCTGTACAGCAATTCTCACTAAGCTGCTGTCCCAGCTGCTGGAATTAGTAACAGCCAGCTGACTACATATGTGCCTCACCACTGACCGATTCTGCTGCCTGAAGAGGTACAAGCATTTGTTTGAAGCTTCACCCTGCATTTTGGGGTGCTATGAGGATTCTCCAGAGACTAAAAAAGCATACACTTTCATCTTTCCACTGTAAGGGAGAGGGGCTTGCGCCTCCCCAGCTGCCTGTTTCTTGTTCCTCCCTGGTCAAAACTGACTGAAGGGCTCAAAAATACTTCTGTTTCCTTTCCCTATGAAATGCTCAAAAACACTTCTGATTCCTCTTCTTGACCCGTGAGGAGCTCACAAAACGCTCATTTCCTGAGGAGAACAGGTTGAAAGTAAGCTACCAAACCTTAGAGATATTTTTGCCTTGCGACAATCCCAGTGACACATCTCACCCAGCACAGAGACAGCTGACACCAGAGTTCAGATGACTCCAAGCTTTGCCCTTGGGATGTCAGAAGAGCCCAGTGATCCGTGTGCCTGGGAGAGCACAGGAACTGCTGCTGTGTAAGAGGACAACAGCGTGTTCCAATCAGCAGTGTCTCTCTGGCACTGACCTCCATGGGTTTCTTCAGAGAAGGCCATTAATGCCTAACTGTGCAATGCTACACTGCACAGGAAAATTTCTTCCTACCCTCAGCAGGTGATCAATTTGACAGGAGGATCCATGGCACTTGTAATTGTTACCCAAGCTGGTGAAACTGCAGGTGTTACTCTTATTCATCTGTGACTAATCCATTTTTTACCTTCACTAGCCCCTGTACTCCACCAATAGGCTGTACTTTTCTACATTCTAGTCATCACTCTGGAATCTACAATCCAACAGGTACAAAACATGGGTTGATAAATAACAGGGCTTGTGTTTCCCCACGGTATTTTTCAGTTCACATGACAACTGCATGAAAGAGAGGCAGAGAACAGGATGCAGGGTTTGACTTACTCAGGCTCCCAGGACACCTGCCCCAGAGAGAGGGGAGGAGAAAAAAATTAAAATTAAACATTTCCTGCTACTCCTTTCCGCAGCAGAGTTCAGCCTGTGGAATCCACTGGCACAGGAGATCAAAGGAGGAATGTCAAACAACAGGTGACTAGGATCTTTTAGCTAACAGCTGACACAATAAAAAATGGCAATATTCAGCTAAAGACCTGTGAAAGGATGACCCAAGATACCACACCATTCTGCAAACCTTCAAGAGATGGTCAAATGTTTTACACCTGCTAGTTTTAAAGAGTGTGCTTTCTCTCCATTCACACTGTGGAAACGGTCTGTTCTTCATGTGGGGAAAAGCAAAGGATGAGAAGTACAAGTGACAGGGTTTTACCTGATGGCAGGTGATGAGCAAAGCTGTCCATACAAAGAAACCTGAGATAGCCTGAGCAGCAGTGGTCATGAGGAATATTGGCTGCTCCACAGCCGTGGGGCTGCCATCCTCTGGCATCCCGGAGAAGTTAGGAGCCACAGCTGGAGTGGTGGCAGTTGACCCCAGTCTGGGGGCTGCAGTGACATCAGTCATCATAATCATGGTGTCTTTTGGTGTGAGGTTCCAGTTGGGATTGCTAAAGAGCTGCCCACGGGCCAAGACCTGTCAGGGAAGAGAACCACAAAGCAATTGAACCCAGCTGAGAGGAGTCAGGAATGTAACAGAACTTTGCATCTCTCACATGCCTTCCACCAGGCTGCTCACATGCTCTGTGAACAGGACCTGGGTGTGTCTGCCACTGCCACCCCCTGTGATATAACAGATCATGTGGCACTCAGACACCTCTGACAGCCCCCCAGAGATCATGAAATGGCCACTGCCATCATTGCCCCCCTTCTGCAATAAAAACATGTAAGATGAATACAGCATTCACCAGAGATCACAGAATCATAGAATGGTTTGGGTTGGAAAAGATCCTAAGGACCATCTAGTTCCAAGCCCTGTGCTATGGGCCAGGGACTCCTTCCACTAGACCAGGTTGCTCAGACTCCAACAAACCTGTCCCTGAACACTTCAAAGGATGGAGCATCCCTCTGGGCAACCTGTGCCACTGTCTCACCTCTCTCACAGCAAAGAATTTCTTCCTAACATCTAATTTAACCTACTCACAGTTTAAAGCCATTTCCCTTAGTCCTATCACTACACACCCTTGTAAAAAGATCAGAAGGAGGTATCTAAACCATCCCTACTGGAAGATGACAGGCACACTTAAGTTAACATCTCTATTTTCCATGAGAGTACAGGCTCTTCTGCTGTGTCCTACTGTCATGGTTAGCCTGCCAAGCAGCAACAAGCAACAAGAACATGTGCCACAGTGTCCCTGTGCAGGAAGGGGGCACAGAGAGGAATATCCTAATTCCTCCAGCAAGCAATACCCACCTCTCCTACAGCCATGCTGAAAACCACACTCAGCCCAAAGCACTCTCATTGAAGGATATGAACTGAAAGCTCTTCTCATTTTGACAGTGTGAACATCATGGAAGTCATGCTTTTACCAAAATTCGCATGGCATAGTACATTTAGCCAGCCTGTTATTAATGTTACTAACTTTGCACTGTTTTCTACATGATGTGAATTTCATCTGATTGGCTTTTAAAAGCCAGCTGACACATAAAAACACATACAGAACACAAGAATATGCAAGATTTCAAAACAGCATGACCCTTGGCCATTTCCTGGATAAAAAGCTATTTTCTTTCAATGGAACAAATTCTTGAAGGTCTAAGATCTAAAGTAGCTATTATTTTCAATTTGGTCATAAGCAGGCTCTAGTGTGACCTCTGGATTGTAGGAAGATAATCCACTTAAACCAAGATCACAAGCAGGCAGCCATTGGTTCTATCCATTAGAAGAGCTGCTTCTGATCCCCCTATCAAAGGGAACAGCAGAATATTGCCTCCTTCTGATAACCTCCTAATATTTTTCACAAGAGCACTTCTATAAAAGCTCAAGTCATTGCTCCTACACAGGCTTTTATGATCAGTAGATGGAAATGGCTTTGGAAAGGCCAATGATCCATTGCCAGAGTTTACAGCTGCAGCAGGGAAGGGCACATCTGTCAGCTACTGACAGCTTGTTACAGAACACAAAAGAGAATACATGTTCACAGAGGAACTGCCCCAGCCCTGCTGCACCTGAAGCCACAGCACAAACCAGGGAACAGGTACCCAGTAAAAGCAGAGTGCCAGTAGCAAGTCCTTTCCACATGCACACTAAAGCACAAAAATGGCCCCTTTAGCACAGGCTTTTCCAAAACACACACTCATCACCAGTGTGCAGCAGTCTGATGTTACCTTATGCCACACTCCACCTCCTTTCTGCTTTCTTCCACGGGGGAAAAAGAAATGTTCTGGGAAACACTCAGATTTGTTTAAGCATGTCTTACTATAGGTGGAGCTGCACAAGTGCTGTGCTTTAATTTACAAAATAATTGTCAAACCTGGCTTTTCTTTGTTCTTTCCAATAGATCCCTGCTCTGAGTTACAGCTTTCCATAACTGCATGTATAGTAGGATAACTCCTCCCCAGTCCTGATCAGTACAGAAAATGTAACTTAAGTTTTGAGCTTTCTAAGCATACACACACACATACACACACACATTTCATCATCTGTACTATATCTAAATATTTGGAGAGATGGAGGCTGGGTGGAGGTGTCACAAGTTAGCAAGGCTTTTATTACTTTTAAAAGAAAGAAATTTCTACCCAAGTAACTTCTGAAGCAACGGAATATGCACAGTGCTGAAAGTGCTTCCACAAAGCTCAAGAAGGGCACATCTAAAATGAAATCAGAGCAGATGCACCTGTGGTTAATGCAACCCTAAATAAAGCCCAGCCAGCTGCAGTCCTGCACATCCCAGTGCACTTTGGGAGCTATGCAAGACAGGAAGCTGCTAAGCCCTTCCAAAAGTTCACGGGGGAGAGGATCTGTACAGCAGACCACAGGTGCCAGGAGAAACAGGGCCTGGACCTCCACACTCCAGCTAATCCAACCACATCAGCAGCAGAGACCCAAATGCAGCAGCAGTGACATCAAGAGAACTGAGGATCTGAAAGGGAATTCTTCTGTGTCTCTGCACTCATTTAAAAATAAGTAAAACCAGCAAAAAGTAACCAACAAGCATTTTATCATGACAAGGTCAGTCATAAATTGAAGTTGTGTATGTAATCTTAACACTGCCCCCTTGTGATTATACATCAACAGCCATTAATTACAGGATTGTGCATCATTCTTCAACTAATCTCCTTCAATTCACACAGTCATTGAAATTAATAACTTTTTCCACCACTGTGTTCTGAAAGAAAATACACAAACTCTCTTACAAACAGGGCTTACATCTGCTACCCAAACCACCTCACCCATGAGCACTCAGGGCTGCCCCTGAGGACAGCATTTTATTTCCTTGACACCTTTTATTGGTTCTGTGCATCAGTTTGCAGCTCATTCTCCTTACTAGTGAAACATGAAGGAACGCTGTACTCCAAAATCCACAAAATTAACATAAGCCTTCCAAATTATCCCTTCTAATCTCCTCAAGTCCCACACAACACAGCTACAGTGACAGGTATAAGCAGTGCACAAAGCTGTTGTTATGAAATTCTACTGTATGCAAGAAGCTGAAGCTGTAAGAGCAATTCCAGACTATACTTAAGAAACAGGTAATAGCACAGATGACTGGAGCCTTAATCAGGAAAGTGGATTTCAGCTCATTCACTGCCACCAGCTCAGTCTGCTAGCTCCTCTTCTGCCTTTTTAAAAAGAGCATTGTGAGGGTGGGTTGTGGCAACTCGTCCCAACAGTGCTTGCTTCTGAGATGTCTCTTCCACTGTGCCACAGGACACAAGCCCACAAAAGCCCAGAAAAGGCAGTGCCTGGGAACATGTCACAGCAAAAATACTGCCTTGATAAGGTACAGATCCAGTGCCTTGCTATCAGCAGCTTCCCTCTTACGCTGTGAATGTGTTTTGACATTTATTTCTTAGACACCTACCTCCATCACAGCCCAAGCCAGCACCACAACACACTTTCCTGCTTACTCTCATGCCTGGGTAAAAAGGTACTTTCCAACAGCCATACAGCCATTCCCTATTCACCTCCATCACCTCCTGGCTGTGATCTCTTTCCTGGTGCTCCTCCCAGCTGGCTGTCTTTCTCTGTTGTTTCTTGTGCATTTTAAGCTCCCTGGCACAACCATCTTTTTGTTCTCTGTCCATACAGTTCCCAGCACTGCAAGGTACCAAACCACGAAGAAAGCGCTTGACATTACCATATGTCAAATTAGGGGCATTTGGAAACCCAAATTACCAATGCAATACAAACCAATCTAATGCAAATTAAATTTTGAAGCATTTCTTACTCTTTTGCCATATCCTATTTTCTCTTCCCACCTGTTTCATCATTGCTTTCAGTTCAAGGAAGAGTAAAGTTCCTTGCACACTTATTCTCCCTCTCTGGAGAGCTCTCCTAAACATATCAAAGGAAAATATTTCAACACTTCTAGATTTCACTCTTGGAGCTTTCCCCATCTCCAAGTGACTACCTTGCTCCCCCCGGAGGTAACCTGCAACATAACAGGACCACAACAGAGACCTGAAAAGCACCAACTTTGGGAACTGGAAACAAGCACATATAAAAGTACATCTACATAAACACACAGGACTTTTGGACACAGGTTAGGTGTATTCCAGGATGGCCACAAGAAACTTGGACCAGAGCTAGTATGATTCTCCTACATGGGTTACAGGAGTTTCTGGCAGTGCTGAGGTCTATCCACAACCACCTCCCACCAGGGAAGGCAGGGATCACACTCCCATCCCCTACAAGCTGTCACCTGGTCCTGCCCAGACGTCATCACAAGTTATCGTATGTTAGAGCAAGACAAGGCCTTGTGCTGCCAGGGCATTAGCTTAAACATCAAACCTCTTACACTTACCTAACACACCTTCTGAAAACACTTTAGGAGTATTGGGGGGACTCTCAATGCAAGGAAAGGAAAAGAAAACAAAACAAAACAAAGCCTGTGCTATTTCTATCAAGATAACTATCCTGATAAAAACCCAGGGATGCAGAACACTGTTACACAGATTCTTGACAGAGAAGAAGCTCCAAATGGCATGGGGACCAGTTCTCTTAATGTCACCACACAGATGTAAAGTAGCAGGGATGTGTCCACACAGCCTGCAAACAGAAAAAACAGCACACTAATTCTCCATCAGGAGCAGATTGCCAGTCCAGTATCTTTTGGAAACAGAGACCTCCTGTCTCCAACATTAACATGGCAGCTTCTTCTGCTGAAAATAAACTCAAAACAGAAAACAGACAGGATGTGGCAAAAGTGAAAACAAAAAACTTCATTTATGGCTTGCATAAAGGCATGGAAAATGTTACCACTGAGGAGGAGCCATTTCTACATAAACATAAATAGTTTATGAAAAAATATGAAAACCTCACTTCTGATGCAACAAAAGTGGTGTAAGAGGAGGGAAGAAAGGTTCAGGCATGGTCCTTTAGTTCCATGGGGTACATCTGAATATTCCAACAGAATCTAGTAAAGAAGGAGATGTTTGCCTGCTCTGATCAAGACCTACCCCAAAAGGAAAAGA